CTGCTGGGTTATGGAACGTAAATGAGTTGCAACAAATCGCAACGTCTGGATCTGTTTTAAGGTAAGCTCAATGCTTCAGAGAGTCTACTTAAAGTACCAATTAAGTCTATAGGCAGTTGGAACCCAAAAATTGCCCTGTGTTTTTGATAATCTAGATTTTTAGGGAACCGCTTGTATTGAATTAGTAAACAAAAATAGCAGAGGTTTTTAAAAGTACGGAAGACGTGCAATTCAAGAACTTTCCATTTTTAAATCTCCGCTATAATCCTTGTGATTTGATCGCCAGACCGGCGGGGACCAATTGACTACCTCGTATGGCTTCGGAAACAGATCTTTTTGTATTGAAAGAAGCGGAAACTCTCTCTTTCTCTCTCTCTCTCTCTCTCTCTCTCTCTCTCTCGCTCTCTCTATTTCACTTTCTCTCCCCCGTTGTCTCTCGTCCTGTCTCTCTCTACCACTATCTCTCTCCCTCTCTCTCTCTCGCTCTCTCTCCCTCTCTCTCTGTGAGGAAGTACGGCAACAGATTTCTGCTCAAATTCGACAAGTACTCTTGTCTAGCCACCATAACAATACCGCAATCCCATACAGCTTATCCTGCTTTGGTCAAAAACCCACTTCCGCTTTGCACCTACTTCCCAACCGATAGATTAGCTCTCCAGCCGTACAACGACCGACGACGTGTGTTTACACCCCAGGTGAGCGCTAAAAGTACCACTGGAATTACCGTCAATTCTGTCTCAACCTCCCACCATTTGGGAGGTCCATTTTCCAACGCTGATCCTGGGGATAGGTTATCCGTAGTCTGATCCTGATCCTCCCCCACCCCGGGTGACCTGCCATCATTTTCTATACCAGTAACTATTCTCTGGGCTTCTTTCTTCATGGTGCGGTGGCTGGAAGCAGGCGGCTAAGTTTTTTAGTAGCCAGCCCCGGTTCAGTCCTTGCAAATCTATAATTGTACTAGACAACTAATAAAAAACACTAGCACCTTCACCGCTTTGACTTGCCCTGAAAAGGAAATTGCGCGTTTGTTCTTAGTTATTCTCTTTTGGTTTTGATTGGACTCGGAACTCGTGATCAGGTCGAACTCCCTAAGGTATTTCCCAGGGTTCTCATAGCACGGAAAATTCATTTACAAAGAATTTCTACATAGCTTTTTCCCTAACAATGATTTCCCCTGAGGATCTTTGCCGGCTGACGCCAAATCTCCCCCCATTTTCCCGAATGGATACCGCGTATTTTCTTTCCGATTTAATTGGTTAGAGGTTGCCAGGTCCAAGGACCAACAGTCTGGGAATTCCTACAGTTTTCCGCTAGCACGGCCAGATCAGTCAATTTTTTCCCTTTGTAAAAATCACTGCTGATTTTGACCGACTGGAAGCTCGAAAACCTCCTAATTCCCCATTTGCTTGCCCAGGGCCGAAACCTTGGGGCAAAATTAAAAGGGACCATGACACCAAGCAAATTTCATAAAAGCTTCTGGTGTGTGACGTTCCTTTAATTAAATAGAGTCCCCTGTTCTAAAAAATTGAGCTTATTCCTAAAAGTATTACCTTATTTTACGTTTTTACAAGTATACACGTCATCCCCACGAAACCTATTACATCTTTTTTGACTCTTTAGAACTTTCCTAACCCGAGCCCAGTTCCCGGACGCTCCAAATTCGAGAGAAACCCTCCCCGTATTACGGCGCCTTTTAAACTACAGTCCCCTTTTTTTGGGTAGCCAATTCCAATGAGATCCAGTACCCCTCTTTCCTCGGGGGCTAAACCGGCTTTAGTTTTTCGCCGTCTCCACGACTTTCTCATCTCTTTCTCCCCGATATCCCAATATTTTTGTGACTTTCCCACTCCTTCGAGGTTGACGTCTTTTAGAGGGAGAGACCAATCCGGTGGGGGGGGATCATATGAAATTCAATTCCCCGCCCCATTCCACCATCGCACCCCAGCCCCCCCAGCGTCTCTCCGGTATCCTCCAGAAGACTCTTGTTCGGCTGCTCCTACCCCACGGAAGGCCCGACCTGTCGCCTACCGTTCTGAGGATTTATGCGGAATACCCGGCAGGTAAATGATGTTTTCAGGTTGTCATAAAGGTATATTTCGTAACGTACCGGGAAATGGTTTAAAAGCCTCGGAAATATAACAGGTATATTTAATGACTTTTCCTTGACTTGACTTTTACCGACCTAGAAGTCAAGAATCTCTCTTATTTCCGGTATTTTTACGTTCCCTGTATTCGTTTTAAAGGGGCTGCAAGTGAAGTAAATATCGCCGAGGCTTAACAGGTTACAATTAAAAGGAGCATACCAGCTCGAAAGTTAATAAGAGCTATGATTCTGAATTCTTAGTTCGTTCATAGCCCGTCATTTGTACTGTCAGGTACCTTTCAAATTGCAGATGCTCCCAATTATAACAAATTAGCGTATGTAATCTGTAACAACGGCCGAAGGACAAAGAGCTGACGAAATTAACGAAATTTCTTGTCTGCGAATGGCGAGCAAACAGTGGAGTCAAATGACCTCAAATTCCGCCAACACAATTCATCATCAAAATCACCAATTCTACTCTTTTCTTTCAGTTAAACGTGTACTTGTTGCTGTTGTGTCTGCTCGTCTCCACAGTCCACGGCTGTTTCCTCAATTCGTGCCCCTACCGGCGGTATGGACGCACGGTGCAGTGCGCTTCATGTGGTAAGCTACAGTTAATTTCGCCACTTAGTCTCCGTAGGCACCTTGAGAACTCTTAAAGCTCACGTTCAGCCATGACTACAAATACACCTGTTTACGCTAAAAGACTGAGATACGCAGGTGTGCATAGTTGTAATTGTCCACCTCTTTGGAAGTGGGATCAACAGCGTTCAGATTGTACATTGTATTCGCGAAACCTGCTTCCAGGCGAACCACCACGCGGGCATCTGCACGTCCGAAGGCCAGTGCTGCGCGCATAACAAATGCTTCGAGATCGCCAGAATGCACGTCGCGCCGACATTTGCCCATCTGGGTTCTGGCAAGGTAATGGCGCTTGAGAGATACTGTACCCGGTTCGAAAACTTTGAAAAATTTTAACAAATGTAAAAATTAGCGCTCTCATATGGAGGCAAAAACCATTAGCACGAAATCCCTTAGAATTCGAAGAACTCAAAGTGTAATTTAAAATAATTGTTTCTCATTTAAGAAGGTTAAAATTTGAATTTTCAAGAAAGAGAAGTTTTGAAGAAACAGGCCAGGTACTTCCAGATTTACTAGCCGTCAAGATAATGTCTATCCACGAATTCGGTAACTTTTAGGGATTTTAACATTAATTTTTAGACTTAACAGTACCTAAACTATGCTAAAAATAACGGTTATAATTTTATTAACTCGTTTTGTATCCATATCATCATCAATTTTTCCAGATTCTAAAGCACAACGGGTTCTGCGTCGCGCCAACACTCTGCTGCACTAATGGTAGGTTTTTAGCCGCATCTAATATTTCCGGAATTTCCGAATTCACTCTCCAAAAAACAGAACTTTGGTCAACCACCAGCAAATGGGCAATTTCGGGGAGTATTTACTGTCCAACCCCAGTCAAATAATATTCAAAAAGTATTTACAGGCCGGGTCGGGGACATGACTTTTGTAAACCCCCACGCACAGCCCAATCGTGAAATGTGAAAAACAAAGCTGGATCAGTGTATTCGGGAGCGGATTTTCATCGAAATTACTATTGTAAATCCGATTCTTCGATATGGAACTACGCTAGACACCTATTTACGTCTTTTATGAACTTGAGGAGATTTGGATTTACATTTTGGTAGAACGGCTTTTTGAATTCAATCGAACGATTGAAAAACATAGGGTGGCTGGCAGAGATCATAGGGGAATTTCCAAGGCTGATGCCTAAAATTATCGAAATCCTCAAGAAACTCTGCTAGCCTTCCACTGTCTTACTAGCTAGACAAAACATCAATTTCCCTAGAGATCGCTGCTGGTTTATTCACCTGGCGTCTCAAATAATCCATGCTAGTTGATCTTTCACCAGAATTCAAGCAATCTCGGCTAGCCTGCTTCATCCAGCACAAAGTTCTAGGAGTTTCTGCTGGTTGCCTCTCCAAAAATTCCTAAAAATATCTAGCTGGCCGTCTTCCACGTCAAAAAATCCTCAGACCCAGCCTCGACCCAGAAATTTCAAAGAATTTCGGCTAGCTTGCCCGCCCATGATCTAGAAACCCGCGGTAGTCAAAGAATCACTAACAGCTTGCCTGTTCTTAATCTCCAAGAATCTCTGCTAGTTGACTTTTCATGGTAGCTCAAAGAATTTCTGCTCGTTTATTTCCCGAATCTCAAGGAATCTCCGCTAGCCTCGCAAAGAATCTGTGCCAGCCTACCTCGTCCAGCAATAAGTGTCGCGCTGGGTTTCATATAGAATTTCTAGAGATCTCTGCTAGCTTGCCCGCCATTGAACATCTCAAACCTCCGGTTCTAAGCCGCGTTCTGACGTCAAAATCTGAAAATCCAGACTTGCCAGATAATTAAAAGATGAAATCGAAAGAGCTCTCTCGAACTAGAGATACTTCGGCTTTTCTCATCCCACATTTTCAGAGATTTGTCAGCGCAGTATGCAGTGTGCATAACACTGCCCGTCACCATGGCCACTCCATCCACTCGACACAACGCTACTCTACCACCCCCAGCGACACCTCCAAAGTCATCAAATAGCCCTCGAAATCTCATCCTCCCATCTATCCCTTGCGAGTCTAAAAGAACCACGCGAACGATAAAGTTTTGTTGTTTCCCCTTGCCCTCCTCTTGAATAATCCGCGTCCCAGACTTCTTTGTGTATATAAATCTTGAAAATGATTTATGGAACTTAGGTGACAGAAATCACTGTATGTTGAACTTACAAAGGATTTAACGGTGATCGGCTACGTCCTTAGCCGTTTTGTACTCTAATGTCTAAGCAGGATGGCAACGTCTACACACAACTACCGTCTTTTAATCTATCGTGGCCGACTTGGCAGCCTTCGTATCTAGGGAAAGTATTCCCAACAAGTTCAAGCAGTTCAGTGGAAAAAACAACAGCTTTAGAGTGGAAGAGAAGGTGGCGTTCAAGACAAGGACGTGGGAAGAGATTGACAGAATTAGCTCTGGTTAGAGGTTACGGTGTCTATACGCATACGCAAAGCATACGCACCCCGACGCACAAGCGTATCGTTGCGGAGTTGCATTTTTCAAGGTCATTTTGTTAAGCTGGAACCTCCATGCATTATGGAATTTATCAGGAAAACGGAAACCGAAGAAAACGGGGTGAATTTCAGGAAGAATGTTGAAGCGGACATTAATACGCCCGGGACAGAATTCAGAATCGAACAATTATGCAATTTAGGGGTAAAAGGTCTCTCTCGTCATCCCCCCTCTCCCTCCCCCCTCTCTCCCCTCTCTCGCTCTCTATCCTCTCTCCCACTTCCTCTAACTCTCTCCCCTCTCTCTCTCAGCTTTCCATCTCTCTCTTTTTCTCTCTAGCTCTCTCTCTGGCTTTCCCTCCCCTTCTCGCCCTATCTATCTCCCACACACACTCTCGCTCTCTCGTCCTAATTCTCTGTCTCTCGCTCCGCTCTGTCACTCCCTCGCTATCGCACTGAATTCTCCTTTTCTCTTTCTCTCTCTCTCTCTCTCTCTCTCTCTCCTCTCTCTCTCTCTCTCTCTCTCTCTCTCTCTCTCTCTCTCTCTCTCTCTCTCTCTTGCTCTCTCTAGTTCTCTCGCGCTCTCTTTCTGTCTCTCTCTCTCGTGCGTGCTTCATTTGGCGCATCTCGTGGTTGTCCAGGCCTAGTCCCAGGCAAGGGTCGATTTACTCACTTCCATGTGCCTTTAAACTTTCTATACGATTTTCCTGGATACAACCCCTTAAATGTCATCATTTTATTAGTAAAAAGACCCGACATAGCATACAAATTGAAAGAAAGTGATCGCGAAACGAAAGTCCGTAGGATTCAAGCGGAAGAGTGCGGGTGGTGTTGGTGGGGTAAGGTATGTATCGGTAAGGTATCATCTCATTGAGTGCATTGGCCACGTCGATGAGCAGCAAAAAAATTCAAAATATCGTCATAAAATTACAAAATGTACAAAATACACGCACAACGGGGTGAGGAGGCAACTGACTGGAAAATCGCAACATTGAAAATATCAGATTTGGCGGAATGAGGAATGAGCTTAGGCTTAGGCTTAGGCTTGGGCTTAGGCTTATGCTTGGAAGCAGGCATAGGCTTCGGATATTCGTCGTCTTTGGCTGTCGATCGTAATGGGAAGGAAGGGCGAGAATGGAGAAGGCAGGGCAGAGAAACTTCTGCCGGGACTCCGGTAATGGGGCAATATTAGAATCAGAAAATTCATATTTCGAATTTTCTGGGTGTTTCCAAATATTTCTCATTTTTCAAGCTAATATCTGCGAGAAACAGCAGATTTTCGCTTTAGTCTGAATTTTTAACGTCCAACGCCGAATTTTCCGTTTTTAAACGCCAAAAATCCGACAATACCGTAGAAACGACATTTTTAGCCAGTTTTTCTATATATATCACCCCAGCTACCGTACCCTACTGCTGGGGAGGAAATGGGCCGGAACCGGGAATAATCGGAACCACGGGGACGACCGGAATCAGTGGATTCTGAATTCCATCTGGATGAGTGGAGACAGGAATCACTCTGCTGCCCACCATTGTCAGGTCAGTCAGTTCAGTGGCGACGCTCGGTGGCTGACTTCTCCTCCCCGCTTCTCAGCCTTTGACGAGGTGGGCGGGGCGATCTGAAAGCGGAAATTTGCATAAATTTTAGTAGGTATTGTTATGGTTTACGGCAAGGATTAAAGGTAATTCAATTAAAATGTTTAAAAATCGCAAAATTGTTTGAAATTGTTAAAAACTTTCAGAAATGTTGAAATGTTGTAGCCTGTAGCCAAGATGCCAGGCAAGAACTCCAAAACCTAAGATCTACAGGGTGTCCAATCAAAGGTCACGCTGGCATTTCGCTATTTCAAATCTCTGTTCAGTTCTGAGGAAATTTGGAACAGAGCTGCGGAAGAGAATTTAAAATGTTCACAAGAAACTTTCAGCTCGATCAGTACAGTAGTTTTCCAGTTATAACGAAAATATTACATTTTACGTTTTAAACCTGGTTTTCGTCCGAATTGAGCCTTGGAATGTATGGCAAAAATCAAGCGCCGACCTTTTTACCCCAGAAGATTTTTATTTCGTAAAATTCGTTTTGGAAATAAAGTTGTTTAAATCATTTTAACAAAGGTGTTATTTCCCCCGATGTTAAGGAGAAGGAGGATTTAGGGTCGAAATTGATGGTAATTGATGCAAAGTCAAAAAGATAGCCGAAAAATGAAGCAAAGAGTGTTGAAAACAGTATTTTGTTATAACTCTAAAACATTTGTACCGATCGAGATAGTTTCTGAGCCTGATATTCCCTTCCCCAGCGTTAGAACCCCAACGATCAGGCTAGATTTGAAAATAAAAATCTCCAACGTGTTTTTCCTATGGGACACCCTCTTCAATTTTTCGTGTAAAAACTGGCAAAATGTCTTAAGTGTGATAGCGTATAGCCTAGAATTGAGACTTCTCTGTTAAACGCTACTTTTTTGTAAGTTCGCTTCGACTTCCCCCGATTTTTATAAGTGTCCGTCCATTCGGATTATTTCCAGAGCCAGGTCAGACCAGTTTTCCTACTTTAACAAGTTCGAAAATCAAGCAGGATTTGTCCGGGAAGTGATTCTTGCAAAAAAAATTGTCATTTTCGAACTCTTTCTGTATTATTATTATACCAGGGTTGAAACCGCTTCGCGGCTTTTTCAACCTATTCCTCAATCTAGGACCGATGAAAGTCTTTAATTTCTATGCTTCTTCCCGAAATCTATCAGGAAAAAAGTAGAAAGCAGCTCCTCTGTGTCGCTTTATGAAGGCTATCCCACTTCCGGCTTATGCTAATTGATCCCTAACCAGAAGGGTGGGCAAGAATTTTACAAAAATTTGTTTTAATAGCGAGAAGAGCCATTTTTAAAAGGTTTTATGTGCGTGCAGTCGATTCCGGACCCTTCTTTACCTATTGACGTTTCTGCCCAATCGAAAAATTCTTCCCTGAGGCTATAGGTGCGGAACATCCTCACGGAAGTTGCATGTAAATTCTTTCACACCTACAGACACTATTTTTTTTTATATATATAGTAGGATTAAATGGCTTCAGGGCAAAACCAGCAAGGATCATTGTGGGATCGATCGATTTGGCCTACGAATGTTTAAGAGCGAGCTAGCAGATATCCTTGAGGAATTTCCATACCCTACTATGCTGCACTTGCTTTGTATCTTGTAGTTTTTCCTTTTGGCCTCGCTTTTTTTGCCCAAACCCCGGGGCGATCCCAAAAAATCTCCTTGGAGGCTTCCATATTTTCCGGTCGGATTGACGGATCGCCCCGTGCTGCCAAAATTGCGAAAATTCGTTGATTGAGGGTAGTATTGTGAGTACCGTAAGCAGAAAAAGAAAAGCCTCTCAAAAAAAGGAGAAATTACACCGAAAATCCGGACGGGCCAGGAAAGTGAACCGCCGGCCAACCGGTAAAAGGAGGCTTATCCCCGGGAGGGCTTACTGTTTCGTGGTGGTGTGGTAGGTGCGAGGGCTATTTTCAGCATCGCTGGAAGTGGGGCAGAAAAAATCAAGATATTGTCATAGTTTTGGGGGTGGATGCTGGTTGTTCAAAAACCGGGGACCAGGGTTTTTCAGTGAAAAAAAGGAATTAAGACTTCCGGAAAGGCACATCTTTCGTCAAATTTTAGGAAACGACACAAATAATGCAGCTTGTGATCTCCTAGGTTGCTTCCTCTTCGGAAGTTTCGATGTTTGGCGTTAGACCTGATTAGGCAATGAGACAGAGAAAAAGATTGTCCGGCTTGCGGTCAGTTTGTCAACGCTAACTAATTTCGCAGTGTTTAAGAACAAATCCAAAAGTGACATTCGAAGTTTTTTTTTAGAGATTTCCTATGATTTTCAAGCTATTTCTCGAAAAAATGGTTGCCCTGACGTTTTTGACAGGCTTGATCGATTACGTCATGTAAAAAAATTCCTGAGCCTTGATTACTTTGTCAGCTGACTTACCTTTGGTACGACCCCATTGGATGCCTTCCGGGTTGGCGAGCAACTCTGGGCCCTCGGTTTTCGGCCATCTGGTGGTCGTTTTGGTGGCAGGCTTTTTGGAAGGGGTGGAGCTCCGTCGGGTTGCTAAAAAAAATAGTCTTGGGAACGCTTTAAAGAGTTGTCTAGCCGCCAAATCAGCTAAAAATAAAACCATTACGCTAGGAAAGGCGCGAATCACGCATTACTAAGCTCTAATAAGCGTTTTTTCAGCGCAACTGGTTAAGCGCAGTATCGATGCCCAGGTTTTCGGTCCCTTTGAGATGGACAGTTTCGAACGTACCTGATGGAAAACACCCTCCTCGAGGCTCGAAAAGTGATTCTGGCTCCTCTTCCTCCGCTCTCTCCTCTCCCTCTTTCCCATTCGATCGAGTCTCCTGGCTTCTCGCTCCAATAAATATCGCTGGTGGTCGATTTGGCGGGCCAGCACGTTCGTGAAGCACACAGAAAT